AGAGAGTTGCAGGCTTTCTCGAGAGATGTCACTGCCAAATATCTGTCAGTAAAGTCACTAGATAGATAAAGTACCGCAATCCGTGGTTCCGACGTTGGAATAAACATGGCGTCGGAAGTGTACATAGTGCAAACGTGTAACTTATCTACCCATTAAGTGTAATTCTAACCTCTGTTGCGTTGATGTCACATGAAACCATAACGTTCAGCCAGGTGCAGCGTGCATTGGAAAGAGCACATCGTGAGAAAAATGACAGGTTGCTGCGTCACCGGATGCAATAATCGTACTGAAAAAGGCTTTAGAGTATTTTGTACACCAACAGGCGAAAGAAATAAAGCACGACGTGACGAATGGATACGACTAATTGGACGAGACACATTGCCTAAAAAGGCTTATGTTTGTGAGGTATGATTAATAAGTTATAATTGCGTGAAAAACAATATCTTGTATTTATAAATATTACATAAATGTTACAGGTGCATTTTGATAGCGAACAGTTCGAAAGCCAACGAATAGATGGAAGGAAATTGCTTCGCCAAAATGCAAAACCAAACCTTTTGGAAAAACACACACTAGAGAATGCCGAGCAGCTAGATTTACCAGAAGCTACAAAACCAGAAAATGCCGAGCAGCTAGATTTACCAGAAGCTACAAAACCAGAAAATGCCGAGCAGCTCGATCTGCCAGAAGCTACAATACATTCGAATGAAGTGGAAAATATAGAATCTTGTAAGTTGTACACAATACAATAATATCCATATGTAAATGATCGTACATATATACTATAATGTAATTTACTTTTATTTAAACGAATATTTATAGATAAAGATGTGGAGATAACGGCATATACCACAGCAAGCAACGTGAAAGAATCACAGCATTGCACAAACACGGCAAGAATCACTGCATCAAACTGTAAAACATATGATGAAAAATATGTTACTAAGTTGAGGAAAACGTTGAAGAAGATGGTGCAGCGAAACAAAATTATGAAAAGAAAATTGCGAGAAAAAGATGCGAGGTTAAAAAAGATCTTCAATGACGACCAATATTGGTTTCTCGCACATAATACGCAGAGAGGAGTAGGATCATGGTCTTCGAACACAATAAACAAGGCATTAAAACTCTATATGGCCGGCGGACAAAAAGCATATGACGAGATACGCAGAC